GTATTAATTTTCAGCTTTACTCTTCCATATTGAAAAGTCTACTCGACGAGTTGGAGGCCATGACTCGTCGAGTAGGAACGCGTTTGGACCGCAAACTTAAGTGACCGACTCGACAAGTCGGAAGACGGACTCGGCGAGTTGGAGCTGGAATGAGAAACCCCAATCCCTAGGGTTTTGCACCCTATTTAAAGGATCATTTTTCCCCCCTTAGCCTCCCCTTACAGCCCCTTGTGAGTCCAGAAACCCTAAATCGTTGTTTCTCTCCATACTTGTGTGTTTTAAGCATTTAAAGGTGGATCTTGGAGAAAGGAACCTGAATATCAAGAAGTTTGAGGCAAGGAACGTGTGTGGATCTGAAGTCTACCTCAGTTTAGCATCATTTGAAGGTATCAAGTCATTACCTTGATCTTCTTCTAGGTAGATCCTTCTATATTTGGGACAAGGAGTCTACCTCAGTAACAACTAGTGAAATGACATCGTTTTGCAAATTGGTAACCAACAACATGTCCAATCTTCCTTCCATTCTCCTTCTTCTTTACTTGCACACATCCCGTCTTCCCTCTTTAAACATCCACACTCCAAAAATACGAAACCCTGAAAATGAAAATCCCCATTATGAGAGTGATGAGTACTGAGGCAAAAGGGACCTATGAGTACCCATTCATATAAAGTACCATGGTGTATTCGTGTCAAATTCTCTAAGCTATGAGAATGGAGATATAGAGACAGTACCATAAATTTGACTATGAGACACTTAGTTACGACAAATTAATGTATGCACTGAAGGATGCTATTAAAGATCGTTGTGATTTTCTGTATTATCGGATGTCAATTGGTGGACCAATAAGAGTGTATGTAGACCAATTTAATGAGCCATTGTTTGACTGGATACCATATGGATGTTAATTTGATGGGAGAATCACACTTGGACTTATGTGTCAATATGGCTAGTATCCATGAGGTTATAGTGGAATCTGTGGAAGTGGTTAATGTTGGTAGTGATGTTGAAGTGGTACTTGAGATCTAACTTGTGACTTAAGGTCACATACAATTATGAATTCTGAACGGATCACAAAGGAAAAAATAAAAGTAAGGAGGGATGAACTTGGAGTAATATCTACAATGTCGATGTCTTTAGAGTACAAGGTGACAGTGTTTGGGAATGGTTCAGATGTAATTATTACATAGTTTGAAACAAGGATAGATGTAAAAAACACTATATTTTTGTAAATATGGCCATTCAATAATATTCTTTTGGGGCAATATTTACCCATAAACACACACACACACACACACACACTCTCTCTCTCTCTCTCTCTCTCTCTCTCTCTCTCTCTCTCTTTAGTGTTTAACATTAAACAATGCATGTTATATCAAGTATGCAATAAACTTTCACGTATGAACATTACTTTTTCTATCTTAAGTTTTCATCTATGAACTTGATTTTCTTAAAATTTCCTATTCTTGTTAAAATATGATCACTATGAAAGTAGGTTGTCATTCCAGTTTTGGTTATTTATGCCCTTGACAAATGAAACTAAGTTTTCATTCTAGTTTTGGTTTTTTATGTCATTAACAGAATTCATCATAATTACCATAACGATAGTAGGTTGTCATTACATTTTCCCAATAGTCATAAGTGTATGCATTTTTAAGTTTCATTTATTCATGACAATGAGCAAGTAATAAACAAAAGAAGGTTAAACCATAAGTTAAAGAAAATTTTTACATTTAATTCCATCCAACTATATTTGAATTTTATGCCCTTTTACTTCTTACAAGTAACACTACAAACAACATATACAATACAATTACATAATATTTCATAATATACACTTTCCTACTCATCTTATCCAATTCTTGATATGTCTTCCTCTTGTAAATATTGAATTTACATTCCAAAATGGCAATCCTTACTCCACATGATAATGCTCCCACTTCGTCTTCATTTTTCTCGTTGATTGTTTCTTCGTCATCAACCCATTGCCAAAATTCACATTAAGTCTTTGGATTCATTTAAAAGAAACAATACAAATCAGTGAAGAAAACATTATTAGAAGATGATTGAAACCCATATTACCAGTGAATTAGGGTAAGCATGAAGTTGTTTGCCAATATTATCTTTGGTATGTGATTTCCAAATTCACATTCCAAAATGGCAATCCTCACTCCACATGATCATGCTCCCACTTCGTCTTCATTTTTCTCATTGATTGTTTCTTCATCATCAACCCATTGCCAAAATTCACATTAAGTCTTTGGATTCATTTAAAAGAAACAATACAAATCAGTGAAGAAAACCTTATTAGAAGATGATTGAAACCCATATTACCAGTGAATTAGGGTAAGCATGAAGTTGTTTTCCAAGATTATCTTTGGTCTGTGATTTCCAAGTTCGAGAGGGATATCTACAATCACATGGATCTGGTATGAATTTTTCACTTAATAATTTTGAGATTTGAGGTTGGCCACCCCGATCACCACGACGTGGAAATCAGCATGAGGCGCGTATTTCATTAAAGGTCACCACGATGTGGCAGTATGTGTGCCACGACGTAGCTATGGTACATGAGCTAAACCCTAATTTTCGGGCTTAAGGCCCTATTTAAAGGAAGTGATGCCTAGGATTTCTCCCACCCTTAGCCTCCATCACCTCAAAATGACCCTTGTTAAACCATATCCTCAACTTTGCAAGTTTGAGCTCATTTTGGTGATTTTGGTGTTCTTTGAAGGAAGAATAAGAAGAAGTTCTTAGTGTAAGGATCAAGCAAGCAACTCATCCTTACCTTTGGGATCACCTTCTGGACCTTTGTAAGTTTCCTTTTTCAGATCGTGTTGGTTGGCTTCTTCTAGATCTAGGTTTGGTGGCTTACCCTTTATGTTCTTGGTGTTTTGAGTGGATGGATTCGATAAAGTTTGCAGCTTTATTAATCCTTGGGATCCCAAGGTGGTTTGATGCTCCAGATTTGTTGAGTTTTACAACTTTGAGTGCATGCATGGAGTTTGACCCCATTGTTGCCTATTTTGACCTAATTGGATAAAGAACATGCATGGGGAATGCATGTCCATAAAGTTTGGATTTTTATGAGACTTTGGAGTCCCTAGAAGCATCTATGGAAAATATGAGTTTAGGGCTTAATGGATTTAGGACTCAATCCATTAAGTTGTCCACGGACAGTAACCACGACATGACGAGTTGGTTGTCACGACGTCGTAGGAGGAGGGATCCGCGATGGTTCTGTTTGGTGTTGCCACAGCGTGGCAGTATGCCGACAACAACGTGGAAATCACTTCATAAGCGCGACTGAGAAAAGAGAGCCACGACGTGGTGATGGGTTGGCCACGATGTAGAGGTTAACTGGCATTGACTTTGACCTGGTTTGACTTTTAATCAAGTGCTAGTTTTGGAAGGTAGACTAAGAGTTTACCTTGTGTAATTCAGTAGGTGGTGTGTAGCACCCATTTCTTGGTTATGTGAGCTGGTTAGTTGTTGACTACGTTTTTGAGGTGAGACTTCTCACTATACTATGTAGGATGCTAGTTATCTTCACGACTCTTGCATGGAAGACCAGGGTTTGTCCCCTGGCATTTATATGAAAGACCAGGGTTTGGCCCCAGACATTTGTATGAAAGACCAAGGTTTGACCCCTGATGTTTGCATGAAAGACCACGATTTGGCCCTTAGCAATGGTATGGAAGACCAGGATCTGGCCTTTGGCACTTGTACAAGTAAATACCATGATTTGGCCCATGGCAGGAAGTGATTGTAAAACTATGATTTGACCCATAGCATTCACCTGGGGATGAAATAGATCCGTTATGTTATGTATGATATGTGCTATTTTACGGAACTCACTAAGCTTTGTATTTATAGTTTTATGTTTAAATTGTTTCAAGTTTTCTTATATTAAAGGAAGGGCGTGAGTCGATTGCATCGTTTCCATTGGAGATTTCCGCACTTAATAACTTTATGACGATACTCTAATAAATGTTTTGAAACAAATGGTTTTATCTAGATCTTTAAAGTTGTAATTTGAACTTATGCTTTTATATTTAAATGGAAATTTTAGTTTGAAATTTGAGAAGTTACACTTTAGGTCCACTTTATCGTGATCAAATCGTCAATGCCTAAGTCGAGTTAAACTAGAGACTTCGATCTATGATCAAATAAGTCAAAGCTCCTAAATTTGATGATTATAATAAAATGAATAATAGTATATGCAAAGATGAAATTCAAATGATGATCTTGTATAAATAAAATTAGCATTATAACATTCAAAGGTAACCTTTTAAGCAGAGTAATTATTTAGAACACATAACACATACGATAATGGTAATAAAAAAAACTAATTTCACCAAAAACCAAATCATGAAATCATGTATCTACAAGGGATTAGCGACAGAATTCTATAATCTATAATCATGATTTTGCGATGGATTGACAATGGATTGTCGTTGTTACTTTGGTCGCCAATATCCCAAATTAACGTACTAAGTGACCCTTTTGTAATGGAAAGTATGTTAGTGCGAAAGTTTGGGACGGATAGCGACAAATTTGTCCGTCGCCATAGCTCTGTTTCTAGTAATTATTAAGTCATGATCAAAGTGTTGTACCACTATAACTTCCGGTACGTCACAGAAGGAGCAACCATATTAGAATACTATTTCATTTCTTGATAGAATTAGCCAAGGATGGAAAATTCAAGTTAGTGGATTAGCTCGCACACTTGTTGACCAAAGCTTTAAAATCATATGCTTTTCAGAAGATAGGAATGGAGATAAACTAGCTGCACTATGCAGTATGCACTAAGTTTAGGGTTTAAACTTTTAATAAATTATGGTCTTTAAAAAGAAAGTAGCACATTTTGCTGGACTGAATATTCTGGTATCTCCTTGAAATTCTTTCTCTACTACAAAATCATCACTAAGGATCAATTTAACGTTCAGATTGTGAAAATCATGACATTTTTTGCAGCAGGGTAGATATATACGCTTCTTCCCTACATATTTTCAAACCCCGGTGTAAAAGGCACGCCACTTGCCGGAAGCCATTCGTTGCCTGACAGGAGCTCAGCAACTGTGTAAGGTTGTGCGATCTTAGGATCTGTTATGACATGGTAGCCATGCCATTTGACCCTCCGACTAGTAGATGAACCTGGTCCATAATTCTTGTACTCTCCGTAATAAATAGTTTGATTATAACCCCAACTATCAAGCCACCCTTCCGGGTCCACCAAGTCATCAAGAAAAGACTGCATATAAACGGTCCGGGCGCGTGCAAACCACGGTCTTCCTAGGAAAGTAGCTTTGTACTGATCGATTACAGGCTTAAGATCCTTTCCAGCAGTTATGTTACACCCTTGCAGTGTATATCCAGACGTTTCGTTTTCATATTTCCGTCCATGAGCAGTCACCACTAACCCTCCTCCGGGCCGTGGTTTCCTAAGGAAGATTTGACAATCTTGGAATACGGCTGCAGCGTCGCCGAAAATGAAATCAACTGTGCCGAAGATCTTGCATTCTTTGTAGAACTGTCTACTAGAAAGAGTAAAAAGTGTGTCTTGGTAGCCCTCAATGCTGCAGTGATAGAAGACTGATTTGTCGGAGCTGGTGAGGAGTGCCACCGCTTGCTCTCCCAGTGGCCCCGCCGTGTTACGGAACGTCATATCTCGAGCTATAAATCCACGACCGTAGATTTCTGCCATCGATACGAAACAAACTCTGAGTAAATTAAGTAGCGATATTGCATTTGTATGAAAAAAAATACTAAAAAGAAAACGAGACATGAACTTACGAAACGTAGCTGATCCCTTCAAGTCACCAACCTTTACCGTTTCCAGCACGTCATCACCTGAACGCCGGCTACCGGTGATGATCGTCTTATTTATTCCGTCACCAAACATCGTTATAAGCTCTACTGTCCTTGGAATCACAACGTTTTCTTCATAAATCCCAGCCTTCACGTATATCACATACCTCCCGGGATGTGGCCGGTTCATTGCGGAATCTACAGCTTCTTGAACCAATTTAAAATCACCTGAGCCATCATGAGCTACCACAACGTCCGGCTTTGGCTTGTACTCATTGCGAAAATATTCCCAATCCACGACACCAGGAGTATTAGTACTACTACCCTTCAAGAGAACACTAATAGCCAAAGAGTTGAGTATTAGTAGTGTCAAATTGGTAGAAATAAGGGGTAGCATTGTGTTGGTCTTATTAATCAACTCGAATCCTTTTTCACAGACGTTGATATAGGCTAAACTAGCACTGAGCCATGTCTGGACGTCAAGTGGGTTTGGCTGGAGGGTGTTGTTCTGGATCATGTTAAGTGTGAAAACGACCCCGTCGAAGTAGTCAACGCAGCTACCCCACAGGCTTTTCCCTGGAACATTTGGGTACTTGGACTCGATCCCTTGGGCTCGTTTCAGAACCATACGTGCCTCATCTATGGCTGCTTCTACAGTCATATCCAGGAACTCGTCTGTAGATATGGTGGCACTGGTGGGGTTACGCAGGGTAACGTAGTGATTGCAGGTTTCATAGTGTGGGGTTTGGGTGCACCACCAGTTTACGGTGCCGACGCTGGTAGTTTCCGATGAGCAAGAGAAGATGAATGAAATGGCGAGGCATATGAAGAGTGCAAGCTTTAATGTCATGTTTGGATTTATAGATCAATTTATGTTCTTGAAATGCTACTTATAATATACTCAAATGGTAATAAATGCCGAATATTGGTAAAATTTTGCATTAATGCCAAATCGTTGACTTATATTTTTCATATTACAATAATACATTATATTTTTCATATTACAGTAATACATTTTTTCATATTAAAGAATGAGAAATCAAATATTGTTCTGTTTTTTTTCTTTTACCATCTTTCTAAATATTTAATATTGGTTTTCTACCAGTAAGTTCTATTAGTTTGAGAAATTTTTTTGATAAATTTCTATATTTTTTTAACAGAAAATCCTGATTATTTAACCTTTTTAATAAAGAAAAAAGACAAAAAACAACTAATGCATTCATTTTAATTCTTTTTGATATTTTCTAACAGGTCATGAGATTAAATCATTAATTTTCGTAATGAGATTTTTTTGTTGATTCCCTCAAAAATTTATATATAATATACAAACGTATGTTTAGGTATTTATGTAATATATATATATATATATATATATATATATATATATATATATATATATATATATATAGAGAGAGAGAGAGAGAGAGAGAGAGAGAGAGTAGATGTGTGCCCCCAATGCAGCGGCGATAAATAGCTCGTTTGCGAATATTTTTCTTACGGAGAAATAATTACTAGATTTTATTATTAGTTATTATTTAATAAAAAAAATTACCACATTTAATTAAAATATTTATGATTAGAATTTATATTTATATTGTCTGTTTATACATTTGATGTAAATTAATTGTTATCAGTGTCTAACTTAATAAATATAAATTAATTCATATAGATGAATTTAATATTTTAAAATTTTCTTTTTGCTCAAAATTACATTTTTAATAATCCTCTTCATTTCAAGTCTTCAAAATTTTAGCAAGCAATAATGATTGTGTAATGCATAATTGATTCATACAAAAAATTTTGTATCTTATACCTTTTAAAGTTCAAAATATGATTGATATGCTTTGAATATATATATATATATATATATATATATATATATATATATATATATATATATATATATATATATGTGTGTGTGTGTGTGTGTGTATTTACGTATATTTATATATTTTAAATGTATAAACATATTTTTTTTTATGTATTACATATTTATATATATTTTTACGTATTTTTTAAGTTTTTTATATAGATGTTTATTTATTTTTTTTTATGTATTTTAAATGTATAAACGTATTTTTTATGTAAGTTTATGTATTTTTAAATATTTTACATATGTTTTTTATATATTTTATGTGTTTTTTTATGTATTAAGTATTTATATGTAATTTTACGTTTTTATGTATTTTTTTAAGTTTTTATATAGATGTTTATGTATTTTAAATGTATAACCGTATTATTTATACGTATTTATAAATTTACTACAAGAAAATACATCTATGCCTACGACATCTATTCCGAAGACATGTGTCATTGGTAAAAACAAAGTTATACCGACAACATGTCGTCAGTATAGGCTTCTGATAACTTTGACCACCTACCTTTGACCTAGGACTTTGTGCTGACGACTTGACGTCTCCATAGGTTCAGCGGGAACGAAAAACATTTTGGCGGTCTTCTGAAAACCTATGCCGATAATATGTCGTTGGTATAGGTTACGGATTTTATAATTTCAATTTATTTATTTTCCTTGGTGCAGAAACTAAATAACAACGTCGTTTTGTGGAAAGCTATGTCGACATATCATCGGCATAAAACGTGGCGATCTGTATGAACTATATTCCAACGACATGTCGTCGGTACATATAATTAATTAATTGTTTTTTTAATACTAGAAAAAAAAACAAAACGACGTAGCTTTTACTAACCCTATATCGATGACATGTCGTCGAATATGGTTTAATCGTAATAGAACTCAGTCGATCGAGTTCATTTGTAGTGCTTCTATGAATTTTTGTTCTCTCTCGATCTCCCAACGAAGAATCACGCTTCTGGTCACTCCCCTTCACCGGCTTACGAGGTGATATGCTTCTTAATCCTTTTTTCTTCTTTATTTAGTGATTTTTCAAGTTGTTTACTCTGATTTTGGGGGGTTTTTTTTTTATTGGACTTCGCAGCCTATAACATCCCAAAAATTACGGTAAAATTTTCATTTTTCAAAAACAACCCAATGACTATAATTGTTTACAAAACACTGTTTCCAAAAGTTATAATTATAAATCAAAGTATCCCATTATCGAATATCATAAAATCCGAAGGATGTGCACGATTAAGCTTTCACCTTGACCCGATCATCTGAAGTACCTAAAACAATAAACTAAAACTGTAAGCACGAAGATTAGTGAGTTCCCCTAAAGTACCACCAACCAACATATAACATATAAAATCATGAATGTTGGGTGCAATCAGTCATCGAAGTGGAATACCCTCGGGTCCACAACCTCCCGGATGGATTACCCTGGCTCACAACCTCCCGGTTGGATTGTTATACATACTACATACTGGGTCCACAGCCTCCCGGTTGGATTACCCTTAGCCCACAACCTCCCGGTTGGATTTCCATACATACTACAGACTTGATCCACAACCTCCCGGTTGGATTACCCTTAGCCCACAACCTCCCGGTTGGATTTTCCTCGGTTTGTTGAATGGTAGCACAAAGCAGTACAGTCTCTATCCAAACACACTATATCAGCATATATATCAGATAAAAATATAATCAGACATCAGACAAACAGAAAGATCTACAGATCACTACCACATAGCAACATCCTATATACCAGGATACATATCTAACAGATCACTACAGCATAACAGCATCCTATATACCAGGATACATAACTTAGTGGGCCGACATTGGTGCCTTCAACCCACAAGTATAGTGAGGAAAACTCACATGAATCGAAGAACTCTGAAACACTGCGATATGATCCCTTTTTCTATATTGCTTGCACCCGTAAATCCACTAACACCAGAACCAGATAAAATCTTAATCAAAAGCCCAAATCCTCAAGTTTGACCCAAGGTCAAACTTGGTCAAAAGTCAACGGTCAACGAAAGTCAATGAAAGTATGCCAACCATACTCCTAGGTACGCTCAACGTACGCTAGCTGATCTCTACATGCCATTAAGCACTTCACACCTTAAGACCTTTTGTCCAGAGCTCAGATCTAGACTCAAAACATCGAATTAAGTCATAAAGTTTCCACCGTTATGACTTCCCATGGCTAGAAAAAGTCCAAAAGCTAAAACCCTAACTTATTAATCCATTAAGACATCATAACTCTTGCATGGAAGGGATAGAAGGACCAAGATCACGTTTTTATGGTTCTTAATAGCTCCATAATGGATAAATTTTCCAACTTTATCCATTAGAATGGTCCAAGCAACCAAGATCTAGTTATTTAAGTTTAAAAGGGACCAAAAGTGCATCTTTCTTACTTAATCCATTAAGTCCAAGTTTTCAACCTTCAGATCTGAATCAAAATGATATTTAGATGGATAAAGTTCCCAAGTTTATCTATAAGAATGTCACAAACTTTTAAGATCTAAACTTTATGCATTAAAGTGACCAAAAGCTCATAACATCCAAAACTAGCTAGATCTAACAAATGCATCATCAAGATTCAAACTTTATACCTGCAGAAGAAAGATCAAGGTGAACAAGGTCTGGATCTACAAGCTCCAATGCAACCAACATTTCTCCAATGAGCTCCTTCTTCTCCAAGATACACCAAGAACACTCCAAAGCACTCAAAAACACATTCTTTTTCTCACAAGGCTCAAACTAGGGTTAGGGTTTCAAGGGAGGGTGTTGGAGAGGTGGAGGTTGATAATGGAAAGAGTTTGGGGAAGTTAAGGAGCTTAAATAGGGTTCAAACGCCAAAAATAGGGTTTGGGTTTTGATCGCGTAAGCCCAGCGTACCGGGGATGCTGAGTACGCCCAGCGTACATCCTGTACGCCCAACGTACTAGACTAAGGCCAAAACCTTCCTAACTTCTAATGGTCATAACTTCTTTGTTCCAACTCCGTTTTCGACAATCTTTATATCCACGAAAAGGTATTGAAGAGCCCCACAATATTATCTAAATATCTTCGACTAAACACTTCTCGAATAAAAGTCCATATGCAAGACCCTGGCCTATGATTTTCCCTTTTCTACCCTTCGGCCCGAAACACAATTCAAAGATTAAGATATCGCAACCATCATTGCGTTCTTCCAAAAGGTCTAAACATTACCTCTATAAGGCCCAAATCCATTACACAATCGACTTCCGGCCCACGAACCTGAAATAAGAAATGACAGGAAGCAGGATGTTACAATTCTCCCCCACATAAATTAGATTTTGTCCTCGAAATCAGCTCTAGCTTACACTTCATTATGCAACCCATCACAACAAACAAGTTTTCTGAAAACCTACAGACTTGATCGGCACAAAACCTTATCGGCCAAACTCCATAATGCTAATCCGCACCTACGTACACCATCGCAACGAAAACTAACTTATCACATGATAAACTAGACCACACTCCTACTCGGCTCCGATACCCCATCTCAGCTATCCACTGACAACACTTGGACTTACCCCCGATCCATTATAACCCAAATTGCATCAAATCCTTTGGTCGTCCGAGGTAACTTGGTGATGAAATCCATGGTAACAAAGTGCATAAGGATGGTCAATCCAAGAATCCGCACGTTGCATCAAAATCCCTCATCATCTCAGGTATACATCCACCTAACAAAACACTCGAGATATCTACAACGAACTTTATGACTCGAGATTCCATAACCGATACCCAACCCTGGTAGCCAAATTCATAATAAATAGCCTGATAGTTTATTTTATTTCCTTCTTTTTAATAGTTTATTTTCGATTTTTTAGCTCTTTTTATTAGTATTGCATTGTATATTCTTTATTTTCTTTATCATGGATCGTATCATGTACTTTCTATTTTGCATGAGGTATTTTGCAGGGTTATGGAGCTCGTTGCGGTTTTGGATTAGC